GTGCCGGGACGCGCAAAGACATACTGCCCGTGGAGACCGAAAAAGGCGAAACGCCCGCTCGAACCCAGCACTTCGAACCTCGCCCCCCCCCTTCCTGCTCGCCGGGACCGATGCTGGGCCTCCTCGGACCCCACGCCAGCTCCACCGCTGGGGGCCCCTGCTGGGCAGTGGGACTGTCGAAACGACTTGCCAGGACGAGCGGCAGGCGCACCCCCCTGGATCGCCGAACGCTCCGAGCCAGCTGCGGGCGGAGACCCCCAGCCGGCTTCAAGTTTCTGCACGCTTCTGTCGCCAAGGTAAGACGCATACATCCGGCGCGCTGGTGCGCGGCGCCTGCTGCCACCCGCCCCCTCGGCAGCTGCGCCAGGGAAACCAGTGGGATGCATGAGAACATACTGGTATTAGGTCAGGCGTGTCCCCCTACAGGCCGGTTTTGGGCGACAAATTTTAAGTAGTCAAAAATGCTCGAACATATTCAATAGTCAAAAATATTCGAAAATAGTCAACAAGTTTTTAAAGATCGTCACCAGACAATCTTTGGACTATTTTTGAATAATCCCCCTGTAGAGGGACGGGCCCTACTTCATACTGGTACTATGTGCCTCTGTTCGGGGCGCACGTCCAACCCGAGCATATGGTACAACATCTTGTAGTATACGATGAGAGCATTGGACAAGGAACCCTTGGGTTAGGTCGGGCATGTCCACCTACAGGCGGATTTTGGACGTACGCAAAAACACATACCACCACAATATTAGAAAATATGGGAACATACGCAACAAATCATCCCCATACTATTTTGGGACTATTTTTTCATATTCCTCCTGTAGAGGGACCCGGCATAACCCTTGGGTAAGGAATCCAGGATCTGAGAGCTGATGGAGCACCATTTGAAGTCTGGCCATGGACACTTCCGCCGCCATCATCAGACAAGGAATCCTCCAGGGTCTGAAGCCTCCTGGGAACATTCCTCAACCAACGCCCCCATCGTATCCTTTCCCGAGCGGTATCGCCAGAGAGCGCCAGCCACGGAGCGTCCAGTAAGAGTATGTTTGGGTGGTGCCGGATCAGGTGGCAATGGGGGCCACGCGGGAAAGGGGCCCCACGCGAGGGTGATCTGGGGCTACCTCTGCCGAGGACGGTGCTGGCGGCGAGAGGCGGGCACTGCGCAGGCCTGCAGCGCTCGCTGGCCGGACTCCCCGCGAGGTCGGGGGCGCAGCGGCGCGGGGCCTGAGCCTCCGCAGGGGCGCGCCGCTCGCTTGCACGGGCGCCTGGCCCGTCGCCTCCAGCTTCGGCGGCCTCCCGCCTGCGCTCTGCCGTCGAGGCGGCGTCGGGCGTCGCAGGCTTCGCACAGGCGCCGCCCCTGCCTGCTCGCGGCCCTGGGCGAGGTCCTGCGAAGAGTGCAGGATACTGGAACCGAGCAAAGCCGCGCGAGGCCGCCGCATCGCCGCTGGAGGCTGGCACGTCTCCCACTCGCCGTCCGACTGGCGTGGCCGTGCACTCGAGGGCCTGTGCCTTGTCGCACAGCGCCTCGCCGATCGACTGCACGAGCAGTGCGCGTGTTGACGCGCCCTCAGCGCGCTCTCGCGCTTCCCGCCGCCCATGCCCCTGCTCCGGGCGAGGGCGCGAGCAGCTGGCCCGCCGCCGCGCCCCTCGCGCCGCCTCGCCTCGCACCCCGCGCGCGAGCTTGGCGCAAGCCCGCGTGCCGTGAACGCAGCCTGGACCTCGCCGGCCGGCGCGCGAGCGCTGGTCGGCCCGCGGCTCGGTCACGGGCGGCCGACGGCACCGCGCCGCCCTATGGAGGGCGAGCGCGCGGGGGCCAGCTGGCGCCCTCGGGGACGCCCCGCTCGCTGCGCGGGCCTCGGCGCACGGGGCGCTCCCGAGGGGCCTCCGCGGCGGGAGCGGCGCCGCGGGCCCGGACGACGCCCCGGAGAGGGCGCGGCCTCGGCGCGGGGCGCCGCGGCCGACGGCGGCGGCGAGATCCGCGCGCCGGGCCCTGCTGCGGCTCGAGGAGGGCTCGGAGGCCGTGGCAGCGCCGCGGCAGGGCCCGCCCTGGAGCGGCGCAGAGCCCGGGCGGACCTCCCCTCTGCCCCTGCGAGGGCGCAGCGCCCCCCCCTCCCCCCCACCCTTTTGGCCGAGCCGTGCCTGCCCGGCCGCTGGCCAGCAGTGGCGGGCAGCCTGAGCGGCAGCCGAGCCGCGGGCCGCACTGCCACCGGCGGGCCCCCAACCGATGACGGCGCAGCCGATGGCGGCCTCCGCAGCGGCGGGTGCCTCCTGAGCCCCTGCCAGTGGGGCGCCTGTCTGCCGCCTCGGCGCCGTCGGCCGCGCGAACGGCCGCCTCGGCCCTCGGACAACCTGGGCATGCTCTGCGCGGGGTGGCTGCGGCCTGGCCGGCATGTTGTGGGAGGCCGTGGGCTCGGGTTGGAGGCGGCCCGGGGGTCTGAGCTGGTTGGGCCCCGAGAAGTTGGTCAAGAGGGGGGGGGCGAACGCAAAACCGCTCAAGATCGGTCCCCAGACCTCTCCCTGGGTTCCATTTGGCGCAGTGTTTCACCCATATCCGTTTGTGACGGTCCTGGGACCCGAAAGCGCCCCCGCGAGGCCGAAAAAGGCAAGACACGTTCTCGAACCCAGAACCTCTAGCCTCCCCTTTCCCTCCTGCTGGCTGGAACCAGTGCTGGACCACCTCAGCCCCCCAGCTCCAAGAAGCCTCGGGGGCGGCGCGACGGGGGCGTCGTGCTCTCTTTTGGCGCGGGCCCGAGGCCGCTGCGGCGGCGCTCGCAGCCGCGGGTGCCTCGGGCGCAGGCAGGCCGCTGGGCGCTGCGGCGGTGGCGTCGGGGGCCAGACTGGCGGAAGCCGTGCTTGAGGGTGCCCCGCCCCTGGGAAGCTCGCTCAGGGCGCGCAGGGGAACAGCCGCCCCGAGAGGAACCCCACAAGCGCTGCGAGCCGAGCGGGCTACAGTGCAAGCAGCGCCCCCAGGCGGCACTCAGCAGGGACGAGCGAATCGGCGGCGGCGACGGTTTCGAATCGCTCATACTGTTTTCGGCCTTGAGCTTGGCAAGCCACGCGGGCACGACGCGCGACTGATGAGGATGATGAGGTGGTAAGATGGGGGGTAGAGGAGGAGGAGGAGGAGGAGGAGGAGGAGGAGGAGGAGGAGGAGGAGGAGGAGGAGGAGGAGGAGGGAGAGGGAGAGGAGAGGAGGAGGAGGGGAGAGAGGAGAGGAGGAGGAGGAGGAGGAGGAGGAGGAGGAGGAGGAGGAGGCGAAGGATGAGGAGAGGAGGAGAGGAGGAAGAAGAGGAGGAGAAGGAGGAGAAGGAGGGGAGGAGGAGGAGAGAGGAGGAGAAGGAGGAGGAGAGGAGGCGGAGGCGGAGGCGGAGGAGGAGGAGGAGGAGGAGGAGGAGGAAGAGGAGGAGGAGGAGGAGAGGAGAGGAGAGGAGAGGAGGAGGAGGAGGAGGAGGAGGAGAAGGAGGAAGAGGAGGAAGAGGAGGAAGAGGAGGAGGAGGAGGAAGAGGAGATGAGTGGGAAGGGAGGAGGGCGAAGAGGGTGAGGGAGAAGAGAGGAGTGGAGGAGTCGCAGGCGGGGACGAGGGATGCAAGAGCGATGAAGAGGAAGAAGAGGGGGGTGGCAGGACCGCGCAGATACCCACTTCCCAAACTCTGAGATCCGAAGTTGCGAAAACTTACGGCATCGCAAGACGTCACGACAATGGCCCCGGACCCTTTTTGTCCGCGGAGAATCTTGCGCCCGATCGATCTCTGTGACGGCCGTGGGGCCTGAGTCCCGGCGAAAACGCCCAGCGTGAAACAAATTGAAACGCCTGGATCTCAGGGTCGCCCCTCCCACCCCCGGGCCATACTCGAGCCCCTCGTGGCCGTTCGGGACGATCCTGGCACCCCAGAAGCGCTCTCGGCGAGGCGCAGCTGCTGGAGAGCATCCCTAGACGAGAAAACGCCCAGGAACCGACGACATCCGAACACCTCGACCCTGAGTCTCAGGGTACCGCGGGCTCGTATCGTGTCGACCCTCGCGCCGCTTCCCGACACCGCGGGGCTCGTTCAGTCTTGAACGATCCGCTGTTTCCAAAACGCCAGATCGCTCAACATGGACCGATTTTGGGTCGCAGGCGGCCTTCCAGGCTGAGTGCAAGCGGCGGGGCCGCCGCCGGTCGACATGACGCGAACCGACCGTCGTCTTGTTACCATAAGGGGCGCGTGCTGAGGAGCGAACGGGCTTTCCTAGCCACCGCAGGCCCCGGCCACGAACAGGTTCCACGACATATGTTGATTGAGCAGGAACCGACCGTCCTGGCACTCCTATAGTCCTACCACGGAATGTTCTTAGAGCCTAGAAATGTTCTAACAACAAAAACAATGTTCTTATGACATAAACCCGTTGTGTTAACACAAGACGATCTCCACCAGATCAGGTCCTGAGGACACTACGTGGATACCACGAAAAGGTTCTCAGGACATTGTTTGGCAGGGCTATAGGCGAGCCAGGACGCTTCGCCACTGCTGGAGTCTACAGCTGGGGCGCGGCCCCGAAAACACCAACGAGCCCCCTCCCGAGCCCCCCAAAAGGCCCTCCTCGGAGGGCCGCGCCCCGATCTCCGGGGGAGAGGCCGGCCTTCCAGGGGGAGGGATGGTCGGCGGCGAGCCCCCCCGGGGGGGGGAAGGTCGGCGGCGAGCGAGGGGGGGACACGAGAGGGAGAAGGCCCTCTCGGGAGGCGGCGGGGCTGCTCAGAGGCCCTCGCGCCTTCCGAGAGGCTTCCGTCTGTCTTCGGGGAAGGCTCGGAACACTTCTGAGAGAGCCCGCCCCTCCTCGCCTCCCCCCCCCCTCGCCCGCCGCCGAGATGTGAGAATGGGGCGGGCCTTCCCGGGAGGCTCGGAAGGCCTCCGGCCTTCTGAGGAGGAGCCGTCCAAGCCCCCTCCGAGGACGCAGACGGCTCATCACACCCCCTCCCACGGGCGCGCGGCCGAGACGGACCCCCCCCCCGTGGCCTGTGCGGCCCTGGCGTCCGGTAGCCTCCTGGGGGTCTCCGCGCCACCTGGCCCGAGCGGCGGGGGGCGGCAGCGGCTGGCGGCGCGAGGTTCGCGCGTGGCGCCGTGCTCGTGGTCGCGCAGTGCGGGCGGAGGCGCGGTGCAGACAGCCACTTTGTCAGCGGTCGCAGCCTCGCGCGCAGCGACGAGGCGTCTGAGATCCTGAGACCCCGAGCCGGGCGTTTTCGCCACGGTTTAGGCCACGGGACCATGCCAGATCAGTCCAGCTCGAACAAATGGAGCAGAAAGATGGGGTCTAAGGCTCTGCTTGTCATTTTTGACCATGTTTGAATTGTCTCGCGACGTCGGATCTCAAGGACCGCGCGCAGGCCCCGCGCGCGCAGGGCCCTCAGAAGCGGAGAACCCCGCGCCATAGGCCACCCAGGCATGCGTGGCCCGTGTAAAAGAGAGGCGGAAGACGGCGAGCGAAAAACAAACTGTAGGGGAAGGGCCCCGCCAGGAAGGAAGACAACCACACACACATTCACACACAACACACATCACACAACACAAAACACACACACACATATACATATATCTATATATATATATATATCACGCACACTCGCAACTTCACACACATTCACACACGCACACACACATTCCCATTCACACACACACACGCGCATTCACACACAGCACAAAACACTCAAATCACAACACACACAACACACACATACACACCACACATAACACAACACACAACATACAAAGCACACAGCACACACCAACGAACACGCACACACACACCAACGAATACACACACACGCACCGACGAACACACACACAAACACTTTTGGCGTCGGCACCCCGCGCACAGCGACAGGACGCATGATGGTCAAATAACCTCATGCCCGTGAGAATAAACACTAGGGGATAATAAAGTTCGGGGTTCAGGGAGAGATAAATAAAAGTAGCCCAGCAGACCTCAGCATAATCTCGAAGTAAGAGATGATCAAGAGGAGACCAAGCCGAGCACGTTTTGAGACATCCTTGGCGTTTAGTTTTCATAGAAATATCCTCAACAATGGCTTATCTCTCATGAAAATGTTTTTTGTAAGTGCTCGTGTAGGGTAGCTCATGTGCCTCAATTTCCATGGATAATCAACCCCAGAGATAAAAAAGTTCAGGCGAGCGTGGGGACAGAGAGACATATAAAAGAAGAAGAATACAGTATAAGAATAATAAGAAAGAATAAGAAGAGGAGAATAAGAAGAGGACGAAGAAAGGAAAAATCCAAAGTTCCAAATCTATCAATTTTAATTTACAAACGCTTTATGAAAATTGATTTTTTAAGTGCTCGTGTAGGGTAGCTCATGTGCTTCATTTTCCATGGATAATCAACCCCAGGGATAAAAAAGTTCAGGCGAGCGTGAGGACAGATAGAAATATAAAAGAAGAAGAGGAAAGTAGAAGAAGAATAAGAACATTGCTCGTTTCGTTTGAGTCTGCCTCCCAAAATTATTGGTTTCGCTTGACACATCCTGAAAAAGTGTGATCGCTTCGCTTGATGTTGCTATATCAACATCGCTTGATATTGCTATCTCAACATAGCGTTTCGAGGTGATAATGAAGTTCGGCCTCAGCGCTCGCCGCCCAATTTGAATTTTGTATAGGGCGACGATAATCAACTCTAAACACTGAAGGGGGGGTCCCTTTATTATCATCGGCATGCGGTTAATCGGGCGCGCACGCGCGTCGAAATGCCGACCCCTCATACCGTTTGGAACACATACAGGCACAGAGACAGACACAGGCACACACAGACAGACACGGACACAGACACAAACACAGGCACTAACATAGAGACGCACACGCGTTCACACACGCATACACACATACACACTCACACACACAGAGACACACACACACATACCGAGACACACAGACAAACATAGACGCACACACCCAAACACACAGGCACACTTTTTCTCGTCGGCGGCTAGTCAGAGTCACTGCGTTGGCGAGGAAGCGATGTCCAAGAGGAAGAGGGAGCACATTGTGCCACCGTGCAAGAGGGGAGGAGAAGGCGACGAAACGATGGCCGAGAGGAGGAGGAAGCGGGCCAGGGACGCTCAGGGGAACGGGTCGTTCCCAGGGGCGCGTGGCGCGGCCGTCGCCGCCGCGGGGCCAGCAGCAGCAGCGGGGCTGGGGGCCCACCGGCGGCGGGGGCAGATGCTGACCAGGTCAGCCGGCAAGGGTGCGTGTAACGAGCAATCAAGGGATCGCCAGTGCCCCAAGGGTGGGAGCGGCAAAACCCAGGCCACGAGGGCGGCCACGAGGGCGGGCACCGAACAGGTGCAGTCACGGTGTAGACGGGCCCCCCCTGCTGGGGCGAACGAGGTGGGCACGCAGCGGGGGAGAGCAGCGGCCACGGTGGTGGGCAAGCGTGCGCGGAGGCCCGTCCAGGGCTGTGGAGAGCGCGCACCCACGAACCCGGGCGGGGACGGGGGGCAGGGAAGAGGAAGAGGTGGAAACCTGGAGCGGGCACCGGCCGCGGCGGGCGGAGCGGCGAAGGAGGGCGGCCCAAAGAAGGGCGGGCGAGCGCAGAGCCAGCGCTGGGTTGGACCCGCCGGCCGGGGAGAGGGCGGCATGGCGCGTGCCAGGGGGGGAGGAGGTGTGGCGCGCGGGCGCGCGGCTCCTCTGCCTGGCACAAACTGGCGGGAGTGCGGCTCCCATGCCCAAGGTGGGCAAGGGAACGGTGGGGCGGAGGGCCGAGGGCAGGGGCCGTAGCGGCACCGGTGTGGAGCCGGGCGCGGCGGCCCGCCAGCAACCGGGGGGCGCCAGAACGGCGCAAGCGCTGAAGATGAAGGGAAGTACATGGCGCCCCCTGCCCAGATGGGCAGGTCGGAGCTGAGCGGTGAGCAGTGCGCAGCGAGCGCAGCTGCTCCGTCTGGGCCAGAACCGCCAGGGGCCCAGCGCCCAACCCCGATGAGGGACGGGGGGGCGCTGGCACCCTTGGGAAAAGGGGGGGGGCGCCCGCCACAGCCTCCCTGGGGGAGCAGGGTAGGAAAGGGGGCGCCCGGAGAAGCACCGAACAGGTGCAGTCACCATAATGGAAGGCGATCGAGGCGGCCCCAGCCCCGTGGTGGGGTGGGGCCCCTCTGGTGCGGGGGCCTCATCGGTCTGGCCGCCCGCGGGGGGACGGGCCGGGGACGCGCCACACGGCCACTCTGCGCGGGGGCACAGAGGGTGCGATGGCAAGTCCGCGCAGTGGGCGGTCGGCAAGAGCAGAGGGGAGAGGCGGCGGCTCAGTGCGGGAGCGCCAAGGCTGACGCAGCGGAGGGGGCCCGCCAGGTCGTACGGGACGGAGTATACCCTGCACCGGGCAGGGGGTTGGGGGCCCAGGTGGTTAGGAGCGCTGTGTGCGGCTACCAAGGCGCCGCTGTCTGGACTGCTCGGTGCTGGGCCAGGTCGGGTCGGCGCGGGGTTTGCCTTTCCCTGTACGATCCTGCCCCTTCCCTTTGCCTTTGCATTTCCCGTGGAGACGCTCCATTCTCTGGATCTGCTTGTCCCAAGCGCCGTGCCAGTCGATGCGGAGGCCTTGCTTCTGGCGCAAACATACACACACGCTCACACGCACACACGCACACACGCACACACGCACACACGCACACACGAACACACGCACACACGCGCACACGCACACACGCACACACGCACACACGCACACACGCACACACGCACACACGCACACACGCACACACGCACACACGCACACACGCACACACGCACACACGCACACACGCACACGCGCACACACGCACACACGCACACACGCACACACGCACACACGCACACACGCACACACGCACACACGCACACAGACACACGCAGACGCAGACGCAGACGCAGACGCAGACGCAGACGCAGACGCAGACACAGACGCAGACACAGACACAGACACAGACACAGACACAGGCACAACCACAACCACAACCACAACCACAACCACAACCACAACCACAAACAGACACAACCACAACCACAACCACAACCACAACCACAACCACAACCAACAACCATAAACACAACTACACAAACTCAAACTCAAACACAAACTCAAACACAACCACAACCACAACCACAAACACAAACACAAACACAAACACAAACACAAACACAAACACAAGCGCAAACACAACCACAACCACAACCACAAACACACACACACACACCTACGCACGCACGCACGCACGCACGCACGCACGCACACCCACGCACACCCGCACACCCACACACCCATACCCACACCCACCCACACCCACCCATACCCACCCACACGCACCCACACGCACCCACACGCACCCACACGCACCTACACGCACCCACAAGCACCCACACGCACCCACACGCTCCCACACGCTCCCACACGCACCCACACGCACCCACAAGCACCCACACGCACCCACACGCACCCACACGCACCCACAC